CTGTGAGCAAGGACTCCAAGGACGCTACTAGGCTCTTGGCATCGCTACTAGGAACAATGTGCGCTATTAGAAACAAGAAATACATAGAATTTGATAGAATTTGAATTGAATTGAAGCTAAAAGTTACGCGTCGAACACTGTCAAGCAGTGCTAGGTACGTGTCAATGCAGTGTTTAGGCACGTGTCACAGCTTTCCTTCTCAGTGCTGCCAGGGTGCCAAAGACACCCCCTCTGAACTCAACACCAAGGCTGAAGCCAAGCGGGCAGCACTTCGGGCAGAAAAGCTGCCTGTAGAAGCAAAGATTACAATGAGGCAATGAGCAGCGCGGGTTCTAGTAGTAAGAACACACAAGCACACTCCAGTTGAATAGTCTTAGGTCAGCCAGTAGGAGGACTAGGAGGTTCATGGATGTCATTAAAGTATATTAGCATGTCACGAGTCATTAATCATTAGATCTTTGTCCGAGCTGCACCCTCCAATGTGAAACAAGAGAGATCTTGGAAGCAAAAGGCCTACAGGCCTTCAGAGAGATCATGAAGCCCTGGTATTGGCGCCAAGCCAATGGAGGTCATGACGCTGCCAGGAGGTGCGCAATTTTCGCATAAACCTGGTGATTCCGCTTATGAGCACTGTTTGTGGCCCCGCCTTACAAAAAGAAAATCAAGATCATCTGCTTTCCTTTCTGAGTCAAGTGGCCAGATTCAGAATTCCACAGCCTTGACAAACTCCAGCATTTATAGCAGCAGCTGTGTGGTCGAAGGCCATTGTCTAAAAGCTGCAGGGATTCTTCTCTCACATCCACACAAAACATAGCCCCATTGTCCAACCAAACACGCCACTGACCCCTAGACAAGTAAAATTCGCCTAGTACGCCATGAGTGCCAGCAGGCACAGTACCAACTGACTGGATTAGTTTCACAGCTGCCCCTGGCAGAAATTGGAGCTTTGGGCTAGCTTCACGGAAAGTTTCTTCCACAAGTTCTTCCACCAAACTATGTCTTCCACCTTGCCCGGACAAGGCCAAGGAGACGGCGAGGTCTGCAAGATCTTCCTCTGCAAGATTTTGTTTCAATCTCAACCCAGCGCTTGCAATCTCCTGAAGGGCCTCTGTGAGGACCGCGTTCGGTGTGGAGTCGGACTGTATTAAGTCTGACAAAGCCAGTGCGAGTCGTGGAATAGTCTGGGCTGGGAGTTCCAAACCATTTGCCGCTTTTTCTTTGATCAAGTGTTTGGCAAAACGTTCTGCAATTCCAAGGCCATCAGCACCGAAAGCAAGAACTTGAGGCTGCGCCAAACCACACAAAATTGCCGCCATAGCATCTTGTGAAGCCTTCTCTGGGATTTTTATGGATTCCAGGGATTCAAGGACTTGCTTTTCTGGAGCTTTGGCTGTCAGGTACACCCAGAAGAGATCTGCTGCCACGTGCAAGTCATTGGCCACTCGGATAGCCTCTGCTGCTTCTTCAGCGCGGATACGCAAAGCAAAGTCACCATGCGCTAAGCCAACTAATTGCAGTTCACCTGCCAAGGAAACATAGTCAGATCCATGACAAGGTTGTGCATGTTTGGCCAAGCTTCGAAGAAATGTGCGCAAGAGGTTCTTTGCAAAGACAGACTTGTGAGGCTCATCTGCTTTGCGAGCTTCGCTTTGCAACGTCAGCGTCTTTGAGACCAAGCTCTCAGACAACACCACCATGGTCTCCGCATGTAACCATGCAACACACTCTCCAGCTAAACAGATCAAGTCGGCCAACTGCTCAGCTTGACACAAAGGTGAGCTGATCTCTGTTTCAATGCGTGCGACTAGAGTTTCCACAGAGGTGGATGCCGGGCACTCTGCCGACAACTTTGGGCACAACGACCCGTCCGGGAACTGCCACGGCCTATCGTCTGGGATCTCCAGTGATCGGCTTCCGCCAATTCGCTCATGCTTTCGAGGAGGCAGGAGGAAAGAAGGAGACGGATGCCGACCAAACAAGTCCAAGAAGCAATGCCTGCAGAAAGTGCTGCTACTGTCACTGTCTATCTGATACAATACCGTTCTTCTCTTGCAGCCACAGCTCGGTGCAATTGTCATACCACGCCCTCATGGCTGTCGTTAACCGCTAGGCTCTAGCACTCTAGCTGCCTAGAAGTTTGCAAAGGTGTGATGCCCAGCACTTTGTGTGTGTGTGTGCGTGTGTGCGTGCGTCCTCTTTGATGCAAAGCTATTTAGAATGTTGCCCAAGTGATTCTGAGCGGAAACCCGGAATAGTATGGAATAGTGAAGACAATGTGGATGGTCAGCAAACCTGTGTACTCGGTTGTTCAATATGGCAAATTCAAGCAATCCTGGCTCTTGGGCGATCGGCCATTGGCTTTGGGCTTGCTGAAGGACATTGCGGGGGGGAAGCATAATATATCGCAGCAACTGCAAATGCTGTCAGCCGCCTGGCCCACATACGATCTCTGAAACGATGCCTGGCAAACGCGCAATAGTGCTGACTGACTGACTTCATGAGTTATAAAGTAACAATGTTTGCTACTAGGAACAAGTGCATCGCTAGTAGTAACAAGTGCCTTACTAGTAGTAACAATGTTTGACCGGCCTTTTGGAGTGGGTCCTGATGGAGCGCCGCATCCTCAGCACTGGAAGATCTTTTGTGGATGAACTATCCTGGTCTTGGTTGAGCCCCAGCCCTTCCTATCATGATATATTTGCAACATGAAAAATCAATGCTGACAGCGTTTTGAACGAATTCGGCTTTCCCTCAAGTCCCAGGAGCATCAGCCAGTGCTTCGTCTGCACGCTTGGTTGGAGGCGCCTGGGCTGCTCAGGGGAGGTGTGGGAGGTGTGGCTTCCGTTCACTAATCTTTAGGCCAGGACGGCATGCTCGTCAGCCAGCTGGCCTTTTTCAGTACAGCAAGCAGTACTATTTTGGTGTGGCTTGATTCCGCTTCTGTGCTTTGACGTTTGCCTTTTTGACATTTTTGAATCGGAGCTGTAAAGTTCTGTGTGCCCTGCTTGGAACCTTGGAGAGGCCAGCCTGGAAGGAAACACATGCAATCAGTCATCAAGCAGCTACTGTGGCAGGAAAAAAACCCTTGTTTTGTTCTTGGTGTCTCTGCTCCTGACCTCTCCACCACCCTGCGGATCGAACTCGCCACGTTCTTTGCCTGAAGGCACATTGCCATGACAAACCCATCCAACTGTGGATCCTTAGCGTTGCTCAGCTCAGGCTGCTGCTTGTGACCTCATTTCCGCAGCAACATGTCCTTGGCACTAAGCCCGCATGGAGTTCAGAAATTTGCATGGCAACAGGCAAAATACATTCTTCAAAACATGCTGCGCGTAGAGCCGACTGACAGGAACAGTTGAAACACCTTCAAGGGCCTGGCGAACAAAACATGCTCAAGGCTCGCCGGTGTCCGTGCACAATTGGGGGACTCTGCCTGCCAAAACAAGACGGCCATCTTGAGTACTTCAATGAGAAAGCTTTCACTTATGAGCAGGGACTGCGGGTGTTGTTGGAAATGCTTGGAAATTCCGGCATACTCTGACACAAGCTTTGGGCTGCTTTGGCTAACCGAAGAGAGGCCGAATTAAGACCGGGCAGCCACACCTCCAATGGCACGGCCAGGGCTCTCCCGAACTCTGGAGGCTCCGGACACGGCGTTTGAGGGCTTAAAAAGATGGCAGTCCGGCAAGCCTCTAGTAGCATCCTTGCTCCTAATAGCGATGCCAGGAGCCCCTAGTAGCGTCCTTGCTCCTGGTAGCGATGCCACAAGCCCCTAGTAGCATCCTTGCTACTAGCAACTCCAACCTACTAGCAACTCCAACCTACTAGCTACTAAGTTAATTGCGATGGCCACCAACCTAGTAGCGACTCTGGCTTGTGACTTTGTGGTTTCTGGTTGCGTTTTCATATGGTTGCCGTTTTCATCTCGCTTGAATTTCTGTTGTGGGTTGTATTGATTATATTGATTTGCTCTTCTGCACCTGTCTTGAAGCCGTTCAAGCTGTTACAATGCACTCCTCTCTCAAGGCACCCATTTTCCGCACGCATTCAGCTTCCACCAATCTCGGCGGCCCGCCTGCTTTGGACACGGCTGCCTGACACGTGAGCAGTTGTAATACGTTGTGAGATTTATGTGACTTGTCACTTAAACATGAAAGCGTGTTGGGACAGCGTTTTGGGAATGACACCTGAACTGGTGCTGATGGTATCCTCCAGCTAGTCGCACTGGATCCTGAAGCCAGCAAATGACTCCATATGGCTCCATTGGCCTTTGGCGCTGAAAACATCTCCCGTCCTCTGCCGCTGCTGCACGAGAATGTTTGATTGGAACATGGCCTTATAACTTGGAATTCCAAAAGCCTTTCAGAAGGGCCTCTCATGCCTCTGGCACATGCCAAGACCTGGACGATGAGCGCTGAACTGAGGGTCTCAGAGCTTGTGACTCTGACTCCGTCGACTCCTTTGTTGCATGGTCGAGGGGATCTGGGAACAAACGAGAGTGAGCATGACCCAAAACAGCGAAATAATGCTACAAATGTAGGCTCCTCCCCTGATCCTGGGAGATACCAGGCTTTCTCTGCATCGGAACCTACAATAAACACAACAGCACTATTCCAAGCAAGCAGCAACAGCTGACTAGTTTGCGTAAGAGGTCCACCACAGGAGTCGGGCATGTAGTCAGACTCTGGACCCTGGATACTCCGAAGCTGGCTGATACGGCAATTCATTCCAACAAAGCACAACAGGCCTGTCGCGCTGATTCGTACCAATCCATTTCGCCTGCACCGGCGCATTTCCGACATGTAAACATCTTCCAAAAAACATGTCAGCGCAAATTGCCAATTTCTTGGGGCCATGACCGCCATGCCTCAGCGCACAACGTGTCATTGCCACACCAGCAGTTCTTCTACGCAAACAGCAGGATGTCAAGTCAAACATAGTCAAACCATGTCAAACCTATATCTAACTAATACGCTGCAGTTCTTCTGTACGCCGACTTTTTCGGCGAGTCTTCAATCCAAGCCCTCCAAAGAAGTAGCGTTTGCCCCTTCACATGTGGACTGTGGTACCTTGATCGCAGCGCAAGACGCAAGAGCCAAGTCTGGAATACGTTCACTTGTCCGGTTGCTGTGGCTCCCGGCAGTCCCAGCCTGGATGAGCCGTTCGCAATTTGCAACGCATTCCTCCAATTGACGACCTGAACAGCTCAGCCAGCTTCTGCATGTCATCCCTAGGCTCTAGGCATGCTTCTAGTCGCGCCCCATAAGCCCCATCAAGCCCCATGCGTGTGGGGCTAGCCAAGTGCTCCAATCGCCCTGCCGCCAGCCGCAGCCAGGCCCCGGAGCCATATGTGCCGCAACAGATTCTCACGCTCTCCTGGCTCCCCGTCGCTACCAATCAGAGTCAGCCGGAGCACACAGTTTGGTGGGCTCAAAAGGCCTCCAACCTAATAGCAAAAGGATCCTAAGAGCGATGGCTTCTAGTAGCCGTGGCCTCCAAGCTACTAGCGATGGCCTCCACAAACTGTTTCCCAAAGACAAAGAGGGCCCGAGAAAAACCGGACCCCTCTAGCCAGCTGGCGACACAAAGCCTTAATACACGAACGTTCTCAGTCGAAATCTTGTCCTGGACATGCTCTTCCCAAGCGACGCTCTCAGCTGCCATTGCAGAGAGTGAGGCCTCTGTGGCTGCAGCGGTGTGGCTGGGAGAGAATGGGAGAAGCTCAGCTGTGACATTACGCACGGCCTCAGACCAAGATCAAAAAGTAATTAATACAAAATGTTCACTGAAACAGCTTGAAGGCAAGTAGAGCAAATGCTTCTTCATCTTGGCAAGCACTTCTTGCATAAAGTATCTCCACTGCACCTCCGTAGCATCTCCCAAACTGAAGCTTCGAAGTTTCCAAACTCTTGCACCCAAGTGTCCAGCCACAACTGGTGCGCCTCTTCGTAGCGTTGGCTCTCTTGGAGGCCAAAGGCCAGCTCAAATGCTGGGGCGGCCCAGAAGGAAGCTAAGAGAAGTCGGTAAAAAGCCTTGACGGGATGTCGCTTTCCACAAGTCCCCGCATTTTCCAAAAATATAAGGACAACTGTTACAAATCATCATGCATGCGCAATGCTTCTGAACTGTCTTAGTGTGTGCCAGGTGACCAACAAATCATCGGTACTTTTATGGGTTGGAGTGTTTCCAGTCAGATCCAAAGCCCTCACATCAGCAGCTGTGCATTGACACGCCGCCTGGTAACCTTAGATGCAAACGCCTGTGAGTCGGCAACCTGATGCAAGTCAGTTGTAGATGACCTTGCTTTGGATTCACCAATAGGGCTGAAGCTGGTGTGGACCAGCAGGTGTGTCACTTTGGGTATGCTCCATCCGACCATTGTGCATTAAGTTAAGTCAAGTTTCCCTAATCATTAGTGCGAGCGCTTCTTCAAGGAAGCTTCCATGCGCCCTCAGGCGAGTCGCCCTGAGCTTGCTCCCTTACTTAATTAAGTAGGCGCCTATACTTATAACTAAGTAAGGAGGCAGGCCCACAGACTAAAAAATTGAACTGAAACCACGATAATGGATATAGGACAAAAACACTCTGGGTCAATCATATCTCACTGCCCATTCCGATGAGCGAGGAGCGCTGAAACCCGCGCTCTTGCAAGACTTCTGCTGGCAGCAGGTCCTTGGTTCAGCTAACATTGCCAATAGTTCACAGATAGGTTGGAGGCCGTCGCAACTAGGTTAGTTGGAGGCCATCGCTAGTAGGTTGGAGGCCATCCTAAGTAGGTTGGAGGCCATCCTAAGTAGGTTGGAGGACATCGCAATTAGATGGGAGGCCATCGCCATTAGGTTGGAGGCCATTGCTAATAGGTGTCTTCGCCAATAGTTCACACAAAAAGGGTTTGTCTTTTTGAGTCTTGCCTCCGTTCTGTCTTGGATGGCAACCAGAAACTCAGCCAGTGCAGTCTTCGTGGAGTCTGCAGTGCTGTTGACGAGTTCGCGCAACTCCTTTGCAGACCGGATGGGGTTGCAACATGTCACGCGGCAACCGCGGCGTTGCTGATGTGTGCCACCAAAAGGCTTGTGCATTAATGTGCTTTTCAAGCTTCATTGGCCTTTCAGTTCTTTTCGGTTCGCAGGTATATGTCATATATGCGGGTATGTTTTATGCCGATGTCGGTGGCTGCCTGTCCAACTCCCCAACTTCACTCCTCCTCTGAGCAAGTTCCATCTTTTCGGCGGCGCTCAAACCGTCGCCAAGCTGATCGAGCGACACGGTCGGCCTGGCTCAAACACCACTCACTGGAGTAACATCGAAACATACAGCACTGCCGCACCACCGGACCCCAAAGAAACATAGCAGCGAGAGGAAGTGGAAAAGGTAAGGCAAGTTTAAAAGTCGAAAGGGAAAAACGACACATAAAAAGGAAGAATGGCAACGCAGCACTTGATGATCTAACCTGTTTCAGGCTTCCAGATTGCAATCTACACCAAACTACCACTACTGCAGTTTCCCAAATCACCATGTTGCACATGACCACCAACTTCTCGCATTCACCACATTCAGCTAATGGATTTCAACACACATAGTAAAAACATGTAAAAACTACCGATAGAATACGGTTCAATGTGCTGAAGGCATGAGGAAAGTGATTTTTTTCTCATTGACATCTGAAAAACACAATTCGTCCAGGACTTGCCTCAGGTGCAGCCGCCCAAACCCGCTCTTCCAACAGGCACCTCCAGCAGCAACACCTCAGCTTTTGTTGGAGAAATGGCTTTGACAGCATGGCCACACGGAGAATGCGCAGAAGAGTCATGTGGAAAATCGAATCTAGAGAGACGAGAAAAGGAAGGACCTCCTAACTCCTTCTCAACGTTGCAAGGCACATCAATCACCCAAGATATTGCGCCGTACGACTAGAAGCCTGAATGCCCAGGTTGACTCCAGCTCTGCTTGTCGAATGTAGAAAGGCGCTCGAACTTCAGTATAGGCGCAAACAAGTTCCTCACCCAGGAAAAGATCGCCTCGGGTGCACCAAATATACAAGGGCTTGAACAACAGCCACGCCAAGTCGCAATACGGTATGATAAGGTCAAATTGAGCAGCTCTTATGTAGGCCTTGGGCTTGATTGCTCAATGACCTCGCTGTGGATTCTTCAAAGCTTGTGCCGAGCTACGAGATGCCCTGACCACCAAGCAGGACGAGAAGGGCAGCCTGGCGGAACAGCTGCATGCTTTCTTGGGGTGCGGGTTCTGGAGAGCAAATGCACTTGCAGTTGAAGGGATGGCCTCCAACCTACTAGCGATGGCCTCCAGCCCAATGGCAATGGCCTCCAACCTAATACCCAGAGTTGGTTGTGGAAATTGGATGACATTGGGCCCCGCCTGTTGACTGTTGGGAAGCATGAGTGATTCAGCATGCTTCCATTTAGATAAACTGCCACGCCATTGCAGGGCTGCGCTTCCAGTGTTTTCAACGCGGATGGTTTCATCACCAATTTTACCACCGCCATTCCGTTGAAAGAGGCAATGCCACGCAAACGCCCAGTCGCCGGGACCACGAGTCCAGGACCAGCTTGGGCTGGAGGCGCTGAATTGCTCCGCCAACGGAGAGCCATCAACCTCATCTGCTCCTCAGGAGTAAGCTCTGTCCAAAGCGAGCTCGCAGCTGCAGCAAATTCATCGGCATCGGCCTGCTAGTTCAGCTTGGGATATGCTGAGGACATGTGCGGATGCGCGCAAAAAGAAAGGCTAGTCGGCTAGTAGGTTCGAGGCCATCGCCAGAAAGAAAGGTTGCATCTGGAACCAAGAGGCACATGGAGGCAGCACCGGTTTGTCAGCGAGAACCTGAAGTCAAACGACCCGTTCGCACGTCTCAAACCAATAGACTGCAATAGACCCCTTCGAAGCTGGTTTACGAAGCGCGCAATTGCCACAACCGCCCAATCAGCTCTGCAAACACCAACCGAGAAACACTCGCAGCGCCAACCGCAAATTGCAGTAGAACACGCAGTGGCTCATCAAATATATAGTGGTTTCATGTGGTTTCTTCATGCCCTGTCCATCACACGCTGTCGAGGCACCACTTCGCCGGGCAAGATTTGCTTCAGTGTCCGTAGCCCGCGGCCGCACGAAGCCTCAAAGGTCTCCACCTGAGACTCTGCGACACGTGATTGTCACCGAAAGTCTGTCAGGTTGATTCCAGTCAATCAATGAAAAACATGAACAAACATATTTATTGCAGTTATTTGCATGAAGCGATGGCCCTCAACCTACTAGCGATGGGCTCCAACCTAAGAGCAATGGCCTCCAACTAAAAAGGCAATATACACGTTTGCAGTGATTTTGCATGAACATTCCCTCCAAGTCTACACTCTCTTCTCATGGTGTCCTTGCTTTGCCTCACAGATCTCTGTAGGCTCGCAAGGCTCCAAGAGATCAAGCCCATATTGTTCCATGGCTCCATGGCACGGAAGTTCTATGCCGCCAGCGCCATGTGCAAAGCTATCGGGTATCAAAGTTTGATAAAATTATATGATATAGCTTACTATTACTATATACCCTATAAAGCTATAATAGGGCACCAGATTTTGATGCATTTTGTTTGTTTATTTTGCATCAATTTGTCAAGCTTAAAGTAGAAACATCTTGTGGTAGTCCCCGAGTCTCGAGGCTTGTTCATGCCTTGCCCAAGCATGAGTCAAAAAATGCAATGAATTCACATGCGCCGGCAAAATTACCAGGTGTTTAGAATCTCGTCATTGTTGTTGTTGAATCTGCAACAACATGGTCACCAAAGAATTCGGAGGGAGCTTGGGAAAGGAGCATGTCACGCTGAATTGTGCATCTTTCTACGGGTTATTTTTTGTAGAACATGGTAGAATAAACGCAAGAATCAAGCATGAGAAAAAGAAGGTAAGAGCCCTTCAACACGGGCCCCTCGCCTTCCTTGTTTTTCATAAGGCCTCACACCGAACAACGTTGCCACCATTGTTACACCATAGCGTCATCATTGCAGCAGGATTCCTTTTATCAGAGAGTCACCTTCAACATCCTTCAACCTGGGAAATAGCATTGTGTAATTATGATTGTAGGTGTTGCTCAAAAATTCCTATCAAAATGCAGCCTGGCAGACGCAAGGTCTGTGTTTCGGGCCAAAGTTGTGGGGACAAGCAAAAGGTCGCGCATGACAGGAACTGTTGCCTTAACCTTTTGAGCGAGAGAAAGTATGCTGAACTAAGATTAACGCCAAAGGTACGGATCCTGGTGCGTCAAAGCAAGCGCGTAAACTTCAAGTCTGAAGCCGTAAATCCTTAATGAACATATTGGGGAGACTGGCCGGAGACTGGTGTCTGTCCTAAGAATACTTTATGACTTCTCCTGCCTCGGTATGGAGGTTTGCTAAAGCAAGACGCTCCAGCAAGCGTTTCCGCACCTCTGGCCACCAAATGCCCTTTTTGAAAACAACAAACTATTAGGCTGGAGGCCTCCAACCTAATCTGATGAGTTTCATACCGACCAGTATGTTTCACATACAATTTGGTACACAACCTTGCCGCCACACAAAACATGAGATGCCTCGCAAACCTTTTCCAAGAAAGTTGCAACAAACTACAAGAATACCCTCAAATCACAACGCTCGAAGTTGGTAAAAGATCGGAGGTAAGAAGTGTGCTGATGCCAAATCGAGCTCACTCTCCCGCACATTGGCCTTTCAGGAGTTTAAGCAAGGCACAAGCTGAGCAGTGTGTTTGCTGCAAGCAGGCTATGCTTGAGCTTGCCCTTATTGCAACCACTGCCAGAAGCTGCGTTCTTACTTGTGGTGGTTCTACCGTTCTACCAGCAGACTGTGCCCGGTGCCTCCGCAGCCTTCATCTCCAAATGGACCAAGGCCACCTGTGACTTCAGTCCCACATGATACCCGTTTCTCAACTCGAGCGAACATGTGGACAGAAAAGAAAAGACAAAACAAAAAACAGCCAGAAAGAAAACTCAAGAAGGACAACAGGTCTTTCAAAGACAAAGAGCCACAACATTTTTGTATGAACTCTCAGCTGAGGACGTCATCCCGCAAGCCTTCCAAATCCCAGGCCTCGGCCGTAAGTCAGAGAACACCTTTACATGTTGCTTTCTGGAGTAGCGTCAGTCGCAGATCGCCGCCGCAATGGCTTTCCGCATCTTTTTTTATGATACTGTATGCACTCCAACCTATTAGCGATGGCCTCCAACCTAATAGCTACCTTTTTGCTTGTCTTTTCGAGACCTTTCGTCAACTTTAGTCCTTTCTTTCTTTACACCTCTGTGCTGAGGCTTGAACACCATGCACCTTGACCAAGTGAGAAGAGCAAAACACGTGCTGCGATCTCTCCCAATCTCCTTTTGAAGTTTGCGCCGCTCAGCTGCTTGCCCAGTAGTCGCCGGGGTCAACACTGCCGCCTAGTTCAACAAAGAAACACCTAAACGATCCTAAACGGCAAAGAGAACTGACGCTTCACAATGCCCATTTCATCTTTTTTCCTTCTTGCCTTTGGCTAGCTCAGCTAGCAATTCAGCCACCTGTGACAGGGTTCCGACCGCATCCAATTGCATGCAATGAAGCGCATTGTTGCTGCAACGTTGCAACCACATCGACTGGTGCATGACGGAGTGACGCGCCCCAACTCAGATTGTGAGCGCCTCGCCCTCCGGCACTGGCCACTCCTGTGCAAACTGAAAGCACAGAAAACCATTTCTCTTCAGCCTCCAGTGCTGTTTCATTTGTTTGTGGTGCATTATCCCCACTGGTACCAAGAAGAGACGTTGAAACATATCTTCTTTTGAACATGTCAATGCAAAATGGGTTGCTGGTCAAAAACTGAGGAAAACAAGAACAACCCGGAAGGTCTTTGGCGGTCTTTTGATATAACACGAGTCTGCAAATTTTGACTTCTCAGCAACCTCCGTCAGGGAGATTGTCGGGAAATCATCCGTAGTCAATGAACATATAATGACTTTACGACATAGCATGTGTTTGTTTTGAAGACTGCAAGATCTAATAGTCAAAGTCTTACTAAAATACATGTGATTTTGATTGGTTTTGGGCAACATCAAGGGAGGACCCTGCGAAGCCTGTTCTGTAACTTAGTTAAACTCACCAACCACAGCCAAAGTTGGTAGTTTAGTAGCAACG